GTCTTGGGCTGCGCCTTGCAAGGATTGACTGCAATAGCCTCGCCCTTCAATCTCTGAAAAGCCTCAACTTAACCCCTAGGCGGACTGATCCCGTGACTCACACCCTCAGTTATACAGCTCCGGAAGCCTGCACCCCTACATACCCCCACTGTTCATGATATAAATTCTGCACTACCTTAAGGATACTAAACTATGGGAATTATGGTATATTCCTTATTATAAGCAATGCAGGATGTATATCATCAACACTATTGACCCGGCAGGCCCTAAACCCCAATCCTCAAAGGATCTGTTCCGTGACCTTCGGCTGTCGGCAGGCGTCGCTGCGTCCATGGAACCCCTGTCAAGGACTGGCGGGGCTATGTGGGTTTAGGATTCAGGGCACCTCACCGGCATATCAATGCACGCCGCGTCCGAAGAACACTGAAAACGTGAACATGAGCTGCACTCAGGCAGCTGCCGCTTTGTGGCCGCCATGGACCCGCCTTCTAGAGAAAACGTCGATCTTGCGGGATTGGCATTTCTTCGGAAAGTTAGGACTAGGGGGTAAGTAGAGACTTGGCTTTCTAGCCTGGAAAGATGGTGCCATGGCTGCTGCAGGCTGAATGATTCGCCGATTTAAGTCACGATGAGCACATCCAGCCTGAAGCAAGAGAAGCTGTCTGGCGCGCGTCCGAGCTATGGTTGCAACAGGCTGTGCAGGCACAGTTCAAGCCAGGGCTTTAACAGCCATTTGTCCCCGCGAGGTTGCACAGCAACGGTCGTTCTGTGGACATCCCTCTTCCTCGCTCACTTAAGTTTATCCCGGGGACTTCGGTCCGGGGATACGTCAGCTGTGGTCCGAAGATACGTCCGCTGCTCTATAAGCCCACCTTGTTCGTCGTAAGTCGTGAAGACTATATGTGAAAACCTTTCTTTCAGGAGTGTAAGCCACTGGTAAACCCGAACCCTAGAATCCTTAAACCTTATAAACCCCAGTCCCTAGAATCCTTAAACCCTAAACCCTAAACCCAAGAATCCGTAAACCCGAGCATACAGTATTATGCAAGCTCGTCGATGCAAGGCACCCGGCAGGCGCCTGGCCGATCAACCCGTTACCACAGTCGGGTTTAGGCTTTAGGGCTTAGGGTTTCGGGTTTAGGGTTTAGGGTTTACGGTTTAGGGTTTAGGGAGCTTCCGCATGATTAGAGCAAACGAGACCCCCGATGCGGAAGCAAGAAAGCTTCTTTTGGTCTTTTCTTCGTTAACCGCACGATCTTCCCGAGGCTGGCGGCTGAGCCTCTGATTCGATGCTGTGGATTTAGGGCTTAGGGTTTAGG